CCCTGCCCCACTGGAACCCATATACTTTGTCATCCGTGTTAAGGCCCAGTGTGTCAAGTCAGTGACCCCAGATGTTCCTCAGTGGCTTACTAGACCTCAGTGGATGGACTTGCACTGGGGAATGTCTGGGGTCACTGACCTAACTTGATTTTTTTTCTTTAAATGCATATAGTGGACTGGATAGATGGCTCAGCAGCCAAGGGCACTGACTGTTTTTGGGTTCCCAGCACCCACATGACTAACAACCACCTGTAATTCCAATTCCAGGGAATTTGTCACCATTTTTGGCCTCTGTGGGCATTGCACACAGGTGGTGCACTTGCATACAGCTAGGCAAACACTCATACACATAGAAATTAAAAAATTAATGCATATAGCAGGAGCAGGGCATGGTGGCACATAAATGTACTCCTAGAACTCATACTTTGGAGATTGCGTCAGGGGGATCATGAGTTCAAGGCCACCCTAGACAGCAAGATCCTGGTTGGGGGAGACTGATTTCAAACATCACCCTGACATTTTAATGTCTTGTGATTAGTTAAAAGGATTTTTTTCTGAATGTCATAACCCTGACAAGCCTAGCAAATAGACTTTTGAATTTTCATATAACAGTCAAAAATATATTTTGAAAATATTGTAGTCATTAGTTTTGAAATTATCTTAGAGAAATAACTTTTGAAAAAACTCCCATCAAGGATTTAAATATGTGGTTTAATATTTGGTCACTTGCTATATCTCCTTCAGGATAGTAAGTGCTTCTTAGTTCTTTTTATAAGCCAAGTACTCGCATTGTGCTTGTTGTGTAGAAAGTACTGTACACATGTTTTTTGAACAGCTATTTGTATTCATTTTGGAATCTCAATGAGGAACTTTGGAAATGATGACAGTGAATATGATTTATCTCTGTTTTTGGATAAATCAAAGCCAAGGCATAAAGGCCTTGCAGAGGCAGGTAGAAGGCAAGTAGGTGTATGCTGCAGCCTCTTCAGAGGCTGTGAGGAGTTGGGGGAGAACTAAGGGCTTTGCACTCATAATCTTTCTTCCCATTATGCTCAGGTTCTCTGACCTTGTGGAAATGACTCACCTTTCTATGCTTTGCTTTCTTTACCTATATTGGGGGTGCTGTTGGATAATGGTGCTTATATCATGCCTTGTTAGGATTAAATAAGTCAGTATTTAAAAACACTTAGAAAAGGACCTGAATATATTAGGGGCGATAAGTGTTCATTAGATAGATGAAGAACTATCCTTACTAAAGTACATTCACATACACACACTCACTCTTTAAATATGGCCCTGTTGATATTTTTCACAATTCTAACTATTTGTGTTTATTTCTGGAAATGAAAAATACTGATCTACCTCTTGGTTGAGAAAGAGCAGGGAAAGAAGAATGAATAAAAAAGAAACGAAGAAGGAAGTTTCTTGAAGAAAACTAAAAATTTTGGCATTGCTTACAAGTTAATTGTGTACTGATTCTTCTGATTTTCAGGCTTGTATAATATCTGATTCCCTAGGGTCCAGAACTACTGATAAATGCAGTAAAAAGTGATGCATGCATGTCCAGTCTGACAAATACAATTACAATAATACTATGTCTCCAAATCAAAAGCTTAAGATATCCAATGTTGACTCACTCAGTATTGGTTTTATTTGTAGCTGTTGGTAATCTTCAGGTTCATTGTATTTTTTTTTTTCTACCCAATTCACTCATCTGGAAATTAGTACAGATCCCAATAATTGAAGACAATACAATGTTAAATATAACAGTAGTTGGTTTTTTAAATTTAATGTTTCTAGGTATATGGCAGATGTGTTTATAGTATAATTTTTTAAATAATTCCCTATCATTTAAATTCTCTATTTTTCCAAAAGAATAGTCTTTTGAAGTAATTAGCAAAGACTGTTGAGTTTCTTCATTTTCTCTGTGTCTAAAAATTAGAGGAGAGATTTGGAAAATGTTGAAGAGCTCCATGGTGGGAAAGTTTTCTTTTTTAAAAAAATATTTTTTATTTACTTATTATCTAATGTGTATGTTTTGCCTGCATGTTTCAGAGTACCCATGCATGCAGAAGAGGTGTTGGATCCCCTGGAACTGGAGTTATTGATGGTTGTTAGCCACCAGTGCACTTAACCACTGAGCCATCTCTCCAGGCCCATTGGATGATTATTTTCTAAACTATGAAACTTTCTCCTTCTTCATAATGTTATGTCCTGTTTTCCCCAAAGTGCCACCTATTTAATTCTACTGAAACAAGGTCCATTGGAATTCCAAATGGTAAATCCAAATGTATTGCAGGTTTGAAAGAAAACTCTCTAGCTGGTGTTGTTGACAACCCCTCCCCCCTACTTGAGTGTGATGATATTAGGAGTCAGGGCCTTTGGGAAGTAATTAGGTTTAGATGAGTTCCTGGTGGTGGAGCATCCATGATGGATGATGATTTACCTTTAGTACCCTTAGAAGAAGTGGAAGACATACTTGTACTTCCTGCCTACGGTAGGTAAGGCACAATAAGAAGGCTACAGACTGAACCAGGGAGAAAGCGCCATCATGAACCGAATCTGCTGGCACCCTGACCTGGGGCTTACCTCAAGACCTATGATAGATAATATGTATGTTGTTTAAGTCACCTAGTCATAGCAACCCAAGCTGATTATGGCACTTCATATTATTTTCAGCTTCTGAGAGCTTAATATGGAATAAGAAAGTGTTACTGAATTTGTAGCTAATGCCCTAACGATAGTCTATATTCCTTGCCTGTCACACAGCTCCACATGCCTATGTGCACTTATAACAGGTGTCAAACACTACGGCCCCATTAGTTACTAACTTTTTCCCCTCTAATGCAACTTCAACTTAATTTAAAACTTAAATACTTGAGTCTTAGTTTAGATTTTTAAAAAACCAAACAATATTTATGTGAGTGCTGAAAGGCTTACTATTTTAGGAAACATCTTAAAGGGAAAAGATTTTAGAGACAAGAATTAGCCTTCAAAAGAAAAGGGGTCGGCATGTTATTTTTTTCAGTCCCCTTTCCACAGAATCCAGGGTGACATGGCCTGTGCTACCTCAAAGTGTTCAAAGTGTGGAAGGAAGGGGTGCAGTCAATCTCACAAACCATGGGCTGATCTAAAGGGGCTCTTTCATGCATCATAAAAATTGCTGCAAGTGAATCTGTGCAGGTCCTGGCAACTGTAGCCCAGAGGAAATCAACCTCTTTGTGGACTATATAAATAGCTCATGCTAAGCACACATGCTGCCTACCATTTAAGAATTCTTAAAACATCTCATTGCCTATATTAAGCACTTCAGAACCTTTAATATCAGATAATTTCCAGCTTTTTGCAGCTCTGCTGTTCAACTGGGCTTTGCAGACACATAAAATCAGGGACCTTTAAACAAAGCCTCATATAATTAAATATAATCGTCCATTTGTTTTGAATTCTTTCCATTCCTTTATTCTGAAATCTGTTGATAATTCAGTAGACTAACAGTTTTTTAACTGCTAACATATTTTTCATGCCTCCAGTATAGGTACTAAGGTTGACACAAATGCTATTTTTCTCAGTCTGCTTTTGCCAGCATTGCATTAAAACATGTATAAGAATCTTGTTTTCTTTGTTACTTTCTTAACCTTTTCTAGTTTTAGTTTGCTATGAAAGCACATAAGCTTGTAAAGTTACCAATCCAAATAACTTGGATTTGTTGTTGTGAATTTCTAGCTGATAGATGTTGGCTGTACATGAAGATAAAACCCCTGGGGGCTGGGAGTATAACTTGGTGAAATAGTGCATGTTTAGCATTAGTGAGTCCCTGGCTTTGATCCCCAGCATACCCCTAAAAGAAGAAAAAAGAAAACTTGAATGTTACTGACTTAAGTTAAAGTAAAAATAAAGGCAAAAAGTTTTGTAGGATTTATTTTAGGGTTTAAGACCTTTGCAAATAAGATGGGCATTGGGGGAAAGGGAGTCAGACTATAACAAGTATTTATTTGAATTCCTTAGTATTTATTTTGCAAATGTTTCCAGATGGAAATTTCTTTTCTGTGGTAGACTGACTATATGTGATCCCTGTAATCCTGTTAGAAATACTTACTTTTCTAATTGCCTTACTTAGAAATGTTTTTTATAATATTTTATTATTTTTATGTGTATGCATGTACTGCCTACATGTATGTAAGTGCACTCGTGTTGTGCAATGGCCATGGAGGTCAGAAGAGGGTGTCAGATCCCCTAGAACTGGAGTTATGGACAGTTAACTGCCATGTGGGTGCTGGGATTTGAACCCAGGTCTTCTGCAAGAACAGCCAGTGTTTTTAACCACTGAGCCATCTCCCCAGCCCCACGTAGAAATGTTTTTGTTCCAGTGCATTTCTTGTCTTTTAAAAATACGGTTTTGTGAGTGATTTTAGATGTATATTACAAATTGGATTTTACAGATCTGTACCAACTACGTTTCTGAAGTTCATTACTGCTTTCTGCCAATGTGTGCAGTTTAATACCATGAATAGCCATGGATAACTTGAAACTGCTCCTCATTTTAAGTCTTCCTAAATTAGTTGCTTTTTAGAGCTACTAGTTAATCCCTTGCAATCCAAGATATTTTAAAAAATTACACTGTAATGCTTTTTTTGTACAACACAGAGATCATCAACAGTTCCAGAAGGTGTCATCATGTAGTTATAACCCCACCTGGGCCATAATTGTGCCACAGAACATGACTGATGTGCTGTCATTTCTTGCTGCTTAAATCACAGTGGCAGTTGAAAAGTAGCACAAATTGGCCTTCAGATTTCTCAACCACAGAGAACTGATTATTTTTTCAACTTTGTAGCTTATTCCCTCACTTCAAGTTTTTCATTCTATACGTAGCTGAAATAACATTTTCATTGCTACTTGAGGATAATAGCTGAATTATATTAAACCTCACCTAAGTTTTCCCATTTTTGAAGATACTGGAAGTATCCATGATTAAGATAAATCTTATTATTTGCTTATAGCCATTCAGAAGAGGGCATTTGCCAAAATCTTCCCACAGGAGCACATACCATCTTGGTTCCTCAAATATTCAAGACTGTTCTGATGCAAGTTGACATTACCAAAAAGTGGGAGGTCCCCCTGGTGGATTGGAGGAACTTCCACTAAGTTATGTCACATAGAAAGAAGGTAGGTTCTACATTCTTGGACCCTCTCACATTTAGAATTTCTTGTCATGTCTTCCTGTCCAGCTATATTCAGCATTTTCCCGAGTAATGACCAGCATGGCAAGATGTGCTTATGAGTTCAATAGTGACACAGATGTTTTGGGAGTAAGCAGCTGCTCCCAAGCTCTCCTCTTTTTTTGAGGGCTATAGGTCCATTATAAATGTTTCTTCTAATGTATGTGAGCACCAATTTTATTTCTATATTTAGGACTGAACCTAGGACCTCACACAAGCTAGACAAGCACTGTACCACTGAGCTACATCCCAAGCCTTTTATTTTTACTTCTAAATTTTAAGACAGGGACTAACTGTTATAGCTCATACTAGCATGGTATTCTATTGATCCCAGGCTGGCCTTGAACTTGTGATTCTTCTGCCTCTGCCTCTGAAGCAACTAGGATTACAGGCATGCGCCACCATATCTAACCAGTTTTAAAATAGATGAAATCCAAATTTAGAAAGTCAAATCTTTATATTTATTTTTTTCTGTTTTTCAGGAATACTTACAGCAGTTTTATTCCTAATACTCCAGAGCTGTGCAGAGACATATAAACTGGTATATTTGCATAGTGAAATACTACATTGCATTGTTAGACATTAACTAGTGATACATGGAACACATGTATGAATCTCAAAATCATTAAGTTGAGCAAAAGAAGCAAGATACTTTAGTATCTAATTCCGCTTGTATGAAACTCATTAGAGGCAAAGCTAATCTATGACAAAAGTGGTGACCTCAGGGCTGGAGAGATGGCTCAGCAGTTAAGAGCACTGACCTCTCTTACAGAGGACCTGGGTTCGATTCTCAGCACCCACATGGCGACTACGAACCGTCCTTAACTCCAGTTCTAGGGGAATCTGAAGCCCTCTTCTGACCTCCGTGACATTGCACAACACAGGTGCCCTCACAAACATGCAGGCAATACACTCATAAAAATAATAAATAAAATATTTGAAAATTTAAAAAAAAAGCAGTGGCAACCTGTATGTAAGCAGTAGCATTAACTAAAATGGGTCAAGGAGAACTTTCTTGATTAGTGGAAATATTTTGTGCTTTCATCTGCATGTCATTTCTTGGGTATAAAAATTCATAGAGCTATATGATTAACATGTGCTTTTTGCTATACATAAATCATACCCTAGTTTTAAAAAATGTCTTCAAATTGATCCAAAGTATAGTACATTGTTCAAGCAGAAACAGACTGGAACTAATTCAAATCCTTCATTTAATGGAAGAATACATTTGAAGGTTTTGTTGTTTTGTTTCTGATTGGGTTTTTTATTGCTTAGGCTTGCCTGAAACTCCTGGGTTCCAGCAGTCCTCCTACCTCCTCCTTTCAAGTAGCTGGGAACACATACACATACTGCTGTGACTGATAGTATCAATCACTGTGGAAACACTTCCCCTCAGAGACTGGAAGGGATAACCCTGTCATACTGCCTAGGTTAGACTGGGCTGACTAGACCACAAGACTACTGAGATCTATATCATCTGTATCGAAATCCAAAAGAGATGGTGGAGTGAGTGCCACTGGGACCATGAGATTATAACAGATTGCTAAAATAGCGTTACCAGAGGAGCAGTCATTTTTCACAAAAGTGGGGGTTAAGGAGCTGGCAAGGATCACCCGCAAATGACAAGACTATTAAAGGAGGAGGTTGGGAGACTGGTTCAGATTTAGGACTGAAGTTATGGCCATAGCTTCTAGAAGACAGCAGTTGACTGGTGGAGTTGTGGCTGGCCCTCAGGTTGTCATAGAGTGGTCCACAGGGAAGTCACCAGATGACTGTGGTCTGGCAACTAATAATGTAGAGGGATTGAATTGCAACTTGTACCAAAGATCTAATGTTCTTGCACGTACCAAAAAGGACTTCTTTTTCTGCAAAGTTAGCACACCTTGAGCACCAGTGAGCAGGCAAGATTCTAGCTGCTCAAATTGGGCCAGGTGGAAGCCAGAGCTGTGCCCTAACATTGCATTCTAGCATAGCACTGTAGCCACATAACCAGCCTGCAGAGTGTCATTTGCAGTGTACTCCATTTCATGAAGAGTCAGACTCCTTGGTGCATCGTTCGAGTCTGCATTTACAAATCTCACTCAGACAATTTTTTCCTTTTCTTCTGTTAAAGGTGTTCTACTCTAAGCCTGTAGTACATCCTGTGGAAGAGTCACACCTTCCATGTGGACCACTCTGTGACAACCTGGGGGCCAGCCGCAACTCCACCAGTCAACTGTTGTGTCTTCTAGAAGAATCTATGGCCATAACTTAGTCCTAAAATCTGAACCAGTCTCCCAACTTCTCCCTTTAATAGTTTTGTCATTTGTGGGTGATCCTTGCCGGCTCCTCAGCCCCCACTATTGTGAAAAACAACTGCTCCTCTGGTAAACCTACTTTAGCAATTTTCTGTTTCTTTTTTCTAAAACAATTTATGCCCCATAATTTTCTTTATGGCCAGGCCCACAATGGAAGGTATTCCTTTGCTTATTCCCCACTTGGACTGCCTATACTTCTTTGCCAAATGACTTTAGTCACATTTTTCCCTTTATGTGGAATAATCTTTTCTACTCCATGTGCCCACTGGGGACAATATCCCAGGTCAAATGATCCTTCCATGAAAGCTTCTTGTATTCTCCACAAACAACAAGTATCTTCTCCGTTTATTTTGTGCTTTACCCTTTTAATTTTGCATGCTTATTAATTAGGTACAGTTTAAAAATGCAGACACCATCAGATCTGTAAAGTTTAGGAATCTTGTCTCATTACCAGGTGAATTATCAATGTGTATAGAATAATAATAATAAAAAAACCCATAGCAAAACAATGTCAATTTTATGGGCATAAACGTTAAATAAATTCATAAAAACAATATTTCATAAATAAATTTTGTGATAAATGATATCAATTAGTTATAAATAAAATCATGTATAATGCAGAGAATTTACTAGCATAATATTTGGAGTTGAGTGGGAAAAAAACCAGATAAACCAAAGTAAAATTAGGTTTAGCATGTGCGATTAAAGGAGCTAGAGTGACTACAGTAAGATTCTGCTAAGGGTTTTTTCACTATAGTGTTTTTTATTTTATTTAAAATCTTTTTATTTGTTTTTATTTCATGTATATGAGTGTATTGCTTGCATGTATTTAAGTGCACCTGTGTCCTGTAATGCCTGCGAAAGTCAGAAGAGGGCATGTAATTCCCCTGGAACTCAAGTTATGCATAGTTGTTAGCTGCCATGTGGGTGCTGGGAATTGAATCCAGGTCCGCTGCAAGAGCATCCAGTGCTCTAACCTGTGAGCCATCTCTAGCCCCACTATAGTGTTTTGTTAAAAAAATGTTGGTTGCCTTTTTTAAAAAGATGTTATTTTGATAAAACATGTTATATATTTGGTGATGAGAGGACCACATTGGTAAAACTGAAGGAAAGTAAATTTACCATGGATTTTGTGACCTTTTCCAAAACACTGATAGATAAAATAAGCCTTCTGACCCAGAAATGGAAGAAATGAGAACATCTATTACCTGTAGACTGGTTCAGATCACTCACCCAGTCCAGAATAGACAGACCAAAAACATGTCGTGGAAGGGAATTATTACTGATAACCTCAGCCAACAGGCAAGAGCCTTGATCTAAAGTATCTTAGTTGTTCTCTTCTTTCCTTCTCTGTGTAATAAGCACCTTCTTTTTCATTCATCCTGCAAGTTTTACATCAATGTCACCTTCTTTGGAAAGTTTTCCCAGAGCTAATTCATTCTTTGCCCCTCTGTGCCTTTGAAGCATCTGTATCTATTAAAGAACAGTACTTATAGTTCATCATAATTTCTAAGCGCCTGGGTCTCAGACATGGCATCTAGTTTTCTGTACATGTTCATTTCTGGTGCTTGTGAAAACCCCTTTCATTATCAGCATTTAATCTTACGGTGTGCATGGAATCCTGTTATCTTTAAGGTTGCTCTCAGTATCTGTGGAATCTGCAAGCAAATATCACATATTAGGGCTTGGTGAATAAAGCCAGCTCACCGTGCCCCATAAAATTTGTTAGAGAATTGAGAATTGATATAATGTTGCCAGCAAGAGGCCCTTCAGATAGTTTAGCAGTAAGGTAAACTATTGCCCCCAGGTGCCTAGGCCTACCACCAGGCAGTCCTTATTGTGTCTGAATTCCATCCGTACATAGTCTGTTTTTTATTTCAGCTAGTTTGCAGCAGGCTTTTATCACCTACCATATTATTTAGGCTCCAGAATATAGTCTAATTTGATGGTTCAGTAATTTCTTATTTCTCTACATCTTAAATAAGCCATAGAATGAATGCCCTTCTCACATTCCACTAGTATAATTCTTGTACTTTACTGCACACATCAGCTTTTCTCTAAAATGTTAAGCTTCACTTGGTTATGGTTTAAATATATATTGCTGAAGCACAATGCTGCTACCCTGCTAGGCACCCGTGTCCTCTGCTGATACTTTTGCTTCAGGAAATGAATATAAAGGACTAACCTTTAATAAAATTCATGACTATTCTGATAAGAATAGCAAGCATGATATAAAATTGACAGTGGCTAAGTTTTATCTTGAGAGCACTGTAGAGTCATGACATCTTTGTGAAAACAGGAAAGGGAGATCTTAGCAAAAATACAAAGCAGAATAGAACTGGCAGGAAAAGTGGAATCTGTTGTAGACAGCAACTGGAGGGAGGTTTCAAAGCTGGGGATTTAGGTGATGGACTTTCATAGACAATCAGCCCAAATCTACAAGTTTATAATGACAGAATTCTATAAGGTATGATCTATAATGAATCTTTGTGAAAACAGGAAAGGGAGATCTTAGCAAAAATACAAAGCAGAATAGAACTGGCAGGAAAAGTGGAATCTGTTGTAGACAGCAACTGGAGGGAGGTTTCAAAGCTGGGGATTTAGGTGATGGACTTTCATAGACAATCAGCCCAAATCTACAAGTTTATAATGACAGAATTCTATAAGGTATGATCTATAATGAATAAAACAACATGGACAAAATTGTTTTGCAAATCAAATTTTTATATAGAAAATCAGTGGAACAGTTTTAAAAAATCAAAGCAGACAATACCTACACAGGGCTGAGAAATGCTCTAGGAGTTAAATTGGTGAAATTCATTCCAGAAGGTAAGCGTTCTGCAATTCTGTCAATATACTTGTAATTATAAACACGGGTTCAGAAAACTCCATGTCTGTAAGTCATTGGATCAGAATGCCAGTAGCATTATGCTAGAAGTTTCCCCTTTATAACCACTAGTGTTCCTCTTGGAAGTCTGCGAGTAAACAATTTGTGACCTATTGGGTCATAGGCCACTAGTAAAGATACTTGTATTTAAAGGTTTGGGGCTTTTTTTTTTTTTTTGATGTCTGTTTCACTGAGCAGTAAACATATTTTAAAGTACATGTGATAAAGGAAGAAACAGCTAAGAAACTAAGCTTACTTTGCAATGTGAACTTTCCTCATCATAGATGTTTTCTGTGGGAATTCCTGTTACCTTGCTTTGGCACTTAGAGTAAATCAACATGGAGTCTGCCAAGTGTACCACTTACCATTCATCAAAGCAGCTTCTTTCTGCAGCAAATGAAGACTATTGCAAATTTCCACAATTGGGTGACTGTGAGGTGCCCAACCCTAAGTGACACATCTACAATGCAACCTCTATATCTAAGGCTCAGGGAACACTGTGGAAGAGGGGGAAGAAAGAATATAGGAACCACAGGAACAAGACACCTGCTGCTAGTTACTGCATCCTAGACAAGAGAGGGAAGCTGCACCAATGGAATCTCCACAGTGTGGAAGTCTAATGAGGTCTACATAATGACAAAACCAATTGACATGCCAACATAGATGGCAGGGTGCATGTCACAGGGTCCCACTTCAAGATGAAGAGCTATAGGAAATTCCTGGATGCTAAGGGAGGATCTGTTTTCTCCAGGGATGAGCTCTTGAAAGGCTATCTAATCCCAAATGGGCAGCCCTAACAGTGGTATGTTGGGGACTCCTGCTGTTTTGGGTTGTAGTCTTTCCATGTCTGGATAGCTACATGTTGGCTCGGTGCGAACGGAGGACTCCTCTTTTCAGCAGGGCGCCTCCCTACTCTCTTCCTGACTCACCTTTTGAAGTGGCCGCCACAGATGCCCTACCAAAACCATGGCCTCTGGCATAGGAGATTTTCAGACAATTTCTGGCAGCCTGGCAGGAGCCCACCACCACATGTAAATGAGGCATCCTAAAAGTACCTATCAGCTAAGGCTTTTACCACTACCCCCACAGTATAAAGTATCCTGGTTTTCCCTCAATAATCGGAGCTAGATCACTAGGACTTGGAGCCGAGCTGAGTCACTGAATAAAGGGGCTGTACCACTGGCTGAGCTGAGTCCTGTGTCTTACTGCCTACGATCCAGTCTCCCCGGGGGGTGCTATCCTTCCGACATCGACTCACGGAAATCCAGCTTTGGCCGTCCTCACACATCCCCACATGATTCAGCGGCCGGTGGATTTCGTATCTCAAGGGAGTGCACGGTGGAAATTGGGACGGAACCCGACCAGGCCAGCCCCGGTAGCAGAGACCCACAGCGACGTGGTGCGGGACCCGCCGCACCCCAGGTGCACGCAGGAGACCGGTGCCACGCCCAGCAGCTGGCACCCCGAGATCCCTGCGCCTGCATAGTGGTACACACAGCATCAATAATATGAACTAGTGCAGTATATATGTTTATAAATGTGTATGTATATATAACAATCAAGAGGACAAGAAATTGAGGAGTGGGGGGCATGGGAATTGATGGGGGACTGAAAGCATTGGACATAATGTAAAGACACTCATCAAAAATAAAATGAAAACTTAAAAAATAAAAGTCCTAGGGAGTGAACTTAAAATAAACAACAAAAAAGAGTCTGCTTGAGTTTGTGCAGAGGGTAGCAAGCAGAAGTGGAACCCCAGAAGTCAACATCAGAAATACCAGTGTTGATTGTTGTTGAAGTTTGGGTCTTAAGTTTCCCCCAGAGTCCTTATGCCAAAGGCTTGGTCCAGCCTTTGGCACAGTTGGGGGATAGTGGACCCTTTACAAGGTGGGGCCTGGTGGAAGGTAATTAGGTCACTAGAGATTTGGTTTTAAAGGAGAGTGGAACCCTGCCCCCTTTTCTTTGCTTCCCATCCACTGTGAAGGGAGCAGCTTTATTTCACCATGTATGCCCTACCATTATCTGCCTTTGCCTACAACAGTTATGAACTGACAAAGCCAAGCATTTTGTCACAGTGGCAGATACCTGACTAAGAAATTGGAATCTTTGAAGTGTTTACAATGTCACTACTTAGCTCACTAGAATCAGTGACTTCTGGAATGTTCTGTAGGATGCTTAGCACTCTTGTGGCAATTACTTAATAAAATACTGGAAAGAGGGCCTCTGAAACCCATCTTAAATATTTCTGCTTTAAGGTTATCAAACATTTAAGAAAATGGCCTAATACCAGAGGCAAGCTATTAATTGCACTTTGTGATTTAATTCAGTTTTGATATCATGGGGTTCTTTGTGCTGTCTGCCACTTGACACCAAATACTTCAGTAAGAGATCATGTCTTGGTTTACTTTGTTAGGAATCCCCATGATATGAAGGGAGTGAGCACACCAAATATATAAAGCTCTCTATTAAAAGGCCTCGGTGTAATCTACAGAATTAATGTTTACTGTATATTTGTCTAAAGATTTGTTGACCTACATTTCAGAAAGATTTACTAAATATATAAATAAG